GTTAATTGCCTTCACTGACCTATAACAGCATTCAGATGGCAACAAAATGAAGGCCTGTTTTAGAAGGTAAGTTACATCATAACATATGGCCATGGTCTTCCTCTGAACTGTTATGTTATACAATTCATCCACTGATTTTTGCTTAAATCCTATGATTTTTACTTGCATCCTAATGACTCTATGACATTTTTCTTTGTTAACTAAAGTGACTCTCCCAAAATAAACCATTATGTTGCACCCCAAAATGCTTTTAATCAAGCTGGCATACACCACCTGTAAAATGCCTGAACAGACATTAAATTAATTAAATTAAATTAAAGTTTCCTAAAAAAAATATAACCTTTTGTTTGCCGTTTTACTTACAGCCTCCACCTTTACAGCAAAAAATATCATTTACAATCAATCATAGTTCCCTAAAATTTAAAAACCACCACCATTGCCACAGGATGACCACATACAATAATAGTCATTAATCAACAAATTCAGGTTCTAGATGATTTAAAATAATTTTTTTAGTTTTTAGTATATTTATCAGCAAGGAACCCTCTTTACACTATTCCAACACATTTTCTATATTCCTGGATGCTATCATCTTTCAATAGAAGTGCAACAAGTGCCACATCATCATCATAGTTTAAGGCCGTACTCACATGGTACAGGTACAGTTGCCTCGAATCGGGCTAAAGCACGCTTGTCCCCCCTCCCGTCTCCCTCGACGGCCCACACTCACACCACAATCGGGCCTGGGCACGCTTACGTCATCGATGCTGTGCTGTTCAGTGAGCGCTCTCACTCAGCAGCAGTTATATCATTTCAGTCATTTGATATGCAGTGACATGCAGTCAAATATTTCGCCAAACAGTCCTTAGGGATGCGGTGACACGCAGTCAGATTTTTCGCCTACCAGATCCGCCACTTTTTGCGCTCATAAACGATCATAAAGCCCTCGTGCTGCAGGAATGAGGAGGTCTGCTGAAGGTGAACAGCTGTGGTGCAGTGAGGGGTTTGCGTCTTTAATAAACTACAGCCGTTTGCGTTTATTGATCAGTAAAAATTATTAATAAATCCATATGAAACATTCCCTTAAAGTCACGTCACGCTTTCAGTTTCGGGCTTTGGCACGTTTTGCACTCACACTACAAACGTACCGCGCCAAGTGAACCGCGCTCAGGCCCACCTCTTCCAACCAGGCCAGGGCCGGCCAAGTGAACCATGCTTGAGCCCGATTCAGCGCACTCACACTTCTCAAACGATCTGGGAAACGGGCCTGGGCACGGTTCGGATAGCATAGTGTAAGTAGGCCCTAAGACTTGTACTCTGCATTCTCATCTCATTGGTGTGAATGGAAAATAATCGAGGGGACAAAACACATCCTTAGGGTAACCCTATATTTATAATCATCATGTCTGACTTAACTCCCCTAATGCATACTTGTTGTGGTCTATCTATTAGAAAATATATAATCCAATTGACATGTTGTCCGTTCCCTCCTAAGACTAAAAGATGCTCTAAAAGTAGATGAATCAGCATTGTATTGAATGCAGATGTATAATCAATAAAAAGAACACGTACACATGCATTTGCTCTTTAAAGATGACTATAGCACCTCAGCCTTAGTAAATGTGGCATCCTCTGATTCTCTTCGTGGCTTATATGCAAACATCTAGTAGTACATCTACTGTAAGTGCTCTGGAATGCATGATTTAAGGTAATAACCAATAATTCAAGGTGATAACAAAGGTAAAAACTAATATGAATTTCAATTCCTAAAACAATAAAATTGATCCCTCCTTTTGTTTTAAACAACATTATATACAGTTTTAAACATATTTTAACACGTTTCAAGTAAAAACCAAGGGATCTGTAATTCTGCGTTTCAGCATTGAGCTGTTCTCTCTCTGAAACAAGCCAAAAGCTTTTTTGGAGGTTAACAGCTGCTTTTTTCCCAACATTCTTCAGAATATCTTGTTTTGTGTTCAACAGTAGAAGTAAGAAATTCTTAAAGTTTAGAACCACTTGAATGAGAGTGAATGGTAAGGAAATATAATTATTTTTTTCTTTTTAATACAACAGTTAAAAGGGTGCAGATTTCCAGTACGGTTGATTTCAAAATGTTTTATTTTCAACCGTACACTGGTTCACTTCACTTTGTTTTAGTGCTAAACCCCATTGTCAGTTTTATGTACCTTGGTATGTTGCCCAAGTTAAAGGTGAAGTATGTAAGTTTGACACCCAGTGGATCAACTAGGTATTGCATTCCTGGATCAAAACAAAGGCTAGCGCAGGTTGCCAGATTCTAGATCAGGGGTAGGGAACCTATGGCCTCGGGAGCCACATGTGGCTCTTTGACCAAAAATATGTGGCTCTCCAGCTGTCTCCCCTAAATAAAAAATGTAAACTGTCACCAAAAAATCTGTTTCCTATTGAAAATACAATTAAAATGAATTTTATTGTATATTTTACAGCAAAATGAATAAGAATAAAAATAAAAGGACATTTCCAATGTACGTGTGCGGTGCTGTGGATCAACTTGAATCGCGACACCAATAAAGGGCATGTAACTTACATTTCTATGGTAACCTTGTGCATGTAAATTCAAACAACATTCATGAGTGTTGATGGTGAAAAGAAAAAAATTCTATAAATGATCCTTTCTTAATACATGGTCTTGCTCAATGTGATGCTTTATTTATATCCCCAATGGCTCTTTAAAAAAATGCATTTGCCAAAAAAATCTGAAATGACTCTTTGCTGAAAAAAAGGTTCTTGACCCCTGTTCTACATCAAAAAGAGCGATTCTCATGATCGAGCCTAAAGGCTAATTTAAATTGTGTTCTATATAAAAAGCAACGGCACGCAATAGAAGTATTATCCTCCATCTTAAAAAGAGTTTTTGTTCTAACCAACACCTCGAATTGATAAGTTTGCTGCTAAAAAACAGAAAACTTTGACATTGATCACCTCAGGTACACCTCATGCTTTATTCAGTGTTAAATGCTAACAGTGTGAGTTTGAATGCCATTTTACATGACATTTATTACCATTTACTGAAAGTAGCTAAATAAAATAAAGCAAACCTCATGTGAAGCTCTGAATCAGTGTCTGTTTTCGGAGTTTGCAACTGCCCACCGGAGGTTGCATTTCGGTCACGAGCACATCCTTTGAGAGCCTTTCTGTCTGAATGAATGAAATAGGCTGTTTCCATCAAGGCAACCCTGGTGCTGAAATAAAATTGGTTTAACTGGCATTGGACAGGTTAAAAGAACCACAACAAAGACAGTGTTCCAGCACGAAAAATGCATTTTCAAAGCAGAATATTCTTTCACCATTTGTTTTTCAAACAAACAAGAATGTTCACTTGACATGTTTCTTAAATTTCTGCAAACATATTATGGTATTTTTATGCTTTAGAAGAGTCAAAAACGAGTACAGCACCTTTAATAATTGTCTCCGCCCCCTAGTTTCTTCATTGGGTTGTTAGTCCTTGGTTTGCTCAGTGTATTTATGTCCTCTGTTTCTCTATTTGTCGGTTGTTGAAAGTGGAGGAGCTATATGTTCCCTGGTTTATGTTCCTGTATTTCTTTCTTTGATTTTTTAACCCTGGGCCTGTATTGTTTCTGTGCAATTGTTATTAAGCTTCTGACTGAACAAGAGAAATGTTCCACAGCAAGAGCCATAAAATTGATGATTCTCATAGAGCGCTGTTTATGTATGTATGCTGTGTTGGGAGGTAATCTCCGTCTTGCTAACTGAAGGTGTGTCTGTGTTTACAGAGACATCTGTGACGCATGAAATATTAAAATCTGGAAGAGGCAGAGGAATAAAAAATGACATCCAAAGTGAGAATGAAGGATTTACACACATTCGGCTGAAGCTGTGATTTTACAATTTGATGCAGGGAAAATCCCAGTGACTCTGAATCAGATGAACAGCACCTTTTATTTTTGTAATAGCAATAATTTTATTTATATAATGTATAGAATATAACTTGTATGTAGCAAATCATTGTGCAGACAGACAGAAAGCAAGAAGCATTTCAAGTTTTCTCACGGACGCCTTCAAGATAATTTTTAAGTTGGTTCTTCCATTTTCAGTATATTGTCAAATTTCTAAATAAAGGAGGAAAACACTTAATTACATGCAATTCATAAAATACATCTATCAAGCAAATTATAACTGCCTCGTATGTTATCACAAATTATAAATAAAGGAGGTATTAATAAGTACTGTGTAGCAAGGAGTCATGTACACTTCAAATCTGTACATGTTAGCCCTTACTATATTATTTAGACATATTTTCATTTAGATTGTACTACATTCAACGGCTTTGATGAATTGGATTTCAAGCTAAGAAAAGCATGTGTTAATTGTCGTTTGAGACATAAGTGGCAATCCTCCCCATGTTTTTTTTATTTTTTTTTTCAGGCTAAATAAATGGCTTTTGCCCTCCTTAATAAGTTCACTGCATTGGCAAACATGATTGATTGCCAATTAAGCTTAAAAATTAAACATAAATCACACAGACTGAGGAATCCACTGAGCGGAGCAGAGCGCAGTGTTGAGTGGAGGTAATGAAAGCTGATCCCGGGGAAACCTCTGCCACTTCTTTACACATAAAGTCATGTAGCCACAGAAAAAAACACAGATAGGGCTTTTCACACTTGAAATGGCTACCACCAGGTCCTTCTAAACACCAGGTAAATGTTCTCTCCCAGCTGGCACAAAATGTCATAAGACGTCAATATTAGGTTAGATTTTGGTTGTGACGTCAGGTGACCGAAATTCAATGTCTAGCCAGTGTCCAGGAACAACGTTTTTTTAATGTCCAATAACGACGTCCAATGACGTAATATTTGGTTGATTTTAGGTTGTGTCGTAAAGTGAACAAAATCCAACATGGAGCCAACATCATAAACCAACATCATATTGACGTCAAATACTGACATTTATTCATCAGGTATGGCAACCAAAATCCATCTGATAGACGTCATAGTGCTATCATCTGCACAACGTCAAGCTGTAACCTCGTTAGATGTTTGGTTGTTTTTAGGTTGCATTAGAAAGTGACCAAAATCCAAAGTCTGTCCAACATTGGACATTGACATAGGTCTGACACTGAGTTGTGACATCAACCAGATTTTTATTTCCACCCAAATTGCAACGTTCCAACAATGTTGGGGTACAACGTCAATCTAACATAATGTTGACGTCCTGTACCTGCTGGGCTTGCTTCACAAATAACCCAAGGACAGGGTTAACAATTAATCCTGGATGATTTGCGTTGTACATTTTTATTCTGCAGTCCATCTTGGAGGTAGGATTTTTCCAGCCTTATCTCACGAGGAACCATAACTATATTATCAGAAAAAATTGCTTCTGAGAGTTCATTCATCCTTTCTTTTTCGGCTAAGTCCCTTTATTAATCTGGGGTCCCCACAGTGGAATGAACTGCCAATTTATCCAGCAAATCAAAAAGTTATAAACTTCCGTGAGGCATTGCGTTAAATTATTCCAAATGACTTAAAAAAAATGATACTCCAAATTGAAAAACTGAATTCTAAATTTGCAAGACATTTGAAGTAATTTCCATCATGATGGTGACCAACAAGCACAGTGTAGAGCTACAAGTTGTGTTTGTTTTGCTGCACAAATTGTTTTAACGTGATAGTAGCTATATACTATAAAATCGTTTATACTGTTTATTTACCCTGCACAGTGTTCCTTGACTATACAAAGCATGTGAAATTGAGGCATGAGATAATGCATTGTAAGATTACAATGAAATGTTTCACACTGCACAAGTTTGGCACTAAAATGAAGGGTTAAATGTCCCCAGAAGTGATGTCATTTCACTTTAACTGGAAAACAGAAGCGCATTTTGAGCAGCAAGGGATTGCGAACAATTGAATCTAAGCCTAATTTTAGGAGGCTGTGCGCTTCAGACTCTAGAAGAAAGCTGACGAGAAGCTGACATGCTGAGGGATGTCATGAAAACGGTTGAAGTAACAGTTTTAAAGGTTTTTTCTCTCAATATAACCTGTCACTGATTAAGAGTATATAAGCTCCAAAACATAGGTATTCATAAGGCTAACACGTTCAAATAAAAGGCCAAACATTTAATTTGGATTACATGGGATTTTCATACCACAAAACCACTTTTAAATTAAAAGTGTGAAATCCACCGACGCCCAGGGTTAAAATTAGTAAATGATGATAACCACCAGTGTGAAAAGCCCTTGTATATATCATGTTTATGGTGATAATCATTCACAATTTACTCTTATTGATGTTAATATGTTCACCTTCACTGATTTGCCTCATCTGTTCATTATGCACTCCAAGATAATATACTCATTCAAATAAGCTCTTCTTTACAGCATATCGGTCATATTTTCTATATATTACCATCATAAAGTAATCCTTTTTAAGCTAATCCATCATGTCTTACGTCAATACAAACACACATCTCTGAAAAAAAATAGCTATGAGGAATGTATAATGTAAGACTGTACAATATATATACACAGTATTCTGGCCAACATCAAATGAACAGCAGCTCCATACTGACACAGACTATAGTACAAAAACACATTGAAGCGTAATGCTGTGCTATTAGTTAAACTCAAACAAGGAACCCATCATTAATAAATTGGGCTTTACCCGTCACCCAAAGGCATTCAGACTACAGACTACAAAGTCTGACAAGTCTGTTCCCAGGCAAAGCCTGTAGGTGAGCCGTGATGCTCAGATTTACTTTTATTTGTTGTAATCCTTAAACTTAATCCTCTCAGGATCCTACAAAAGAAGATTACACTACAGAGTGAAATAATAACATTTTTGAAGGCTCTTCGCATTGCTTAGATACTCGTAGCTCACAAAATGTGATAATGTATTGCAATATACCTTCATTTTCTCTCAGATGAAGGCTTTCAAATGATTGCAAATGTCTTTCGCCAACTTCGATTTGTCCTCATCAGGTGCATTTTGGTCCTCCTGTGGATGACATTTCTGTTTTGACATTTAAATCTTTCGATTTTTAAAAAGATTTTTTTCTCTCATACTTAACAGAACAAGACCCTGAAGAAGAAAACATAACCCTGAAAATAAACGTGTCCTTATGAAAATGACAATCTTTTTGTTCCAACAATCAAATTTATGCCATAAAATGAATAAATATTATAAATAAATACATAAAATTAGTCCTAATGCATGAGATCTTTATGAAAATGTCAGAACAAAACCAGTCTGTTGTCTATGTGCTGAATCTTTGAGTCCTGAGATGTGGTTATATCCATGAATACAGCAATAGCGCAGGCAAACATAAGGTCAGAAAGGTCAGGCTTTTATGACTAGCGCGACCCTTTAGCGACTCCTGATTGGTCTCATCGGGGCTTTGGGAATCAGAGGCGGCTGCTGATTGGCTACGGCTGGAGCACATCTCATACAGGTTACCAGAAAACTGCATCTTTTTGGACTCTTGTCTCAGAGAATCCCACACTTTTGCAGCCTCCTCAGGACAGCCGGCCATGGCCACATTCGCACAGTCATGGAAATCATCCCAGGATCTGCAACAGACACAAGCTTAAGGTTTAATGGGGTGATTATTTAATACCTAACCTACAAGCTAATGAGCTGGAATCACTTCTGAGACATCTCTCATAGTTTAAAATAAAGGATAAGGTAGCACTACAGTAAAATAAAGGGTTTTTAATTAGTCAAAATTATATTATTTAATAGACATTTCATAATTTCTATCAAAGGGATGATCTACAGAGAATTCAGCTGGTTGTTATCTTGGAATTAATCCCAAAAGGGTGATCAGGAGGACACAACATGAAGTGGATGGGTCTTGATCACCCTGAAGGCTTCTTTCTACATAAGTAAATAACTAGACGCAAAATATTGATTGAGTCTAAATATTTTATTACCTCTCTGAATGCAAAGCTTCCATGAGGCAAGCAGTTGTTAGTAAATCATACCACTTATTACATGGCTTTTAACCACATTAATAATAATGAGATGAAAATCACAAAGATGACATTCACTAGCAAGTATATCACTGAATTCTGGTTGATGTAAATATAAATACAGAAAGTTAATAAGCCCTACTGTATGTTTGATTTTTATCTTTTTTTATGGGGAACGATTATTTGCATTTTTTTAAACCATAAAAACGATCTTATAAAATATTCAGTTGATCTGGCATTAGTTTCCTGTCAGGAAGAAATAAATAGCTCCTTATATTTTGAATATATTAAAAGTATCACAGAATGTTTGGCAAAAGTTCATTACATCTTAATATTGGAAAAACAAAAGAGCTGTGTCTGGGGAGTCAAACAAGAGTAGCAGATACTAGATTGTATAAACCAGTCATCATAAATGAAAAAATAGTAGAGCAGGTTTCAAATTGTAAGTATTTAGGCACAATCATTGACAATAAACTGAATTTTGACAGTAATAGAGACTGTTTATAAGAAAGCAAGCCAGCACTGCAGTCTCCACCGCAACTTGAGAAGTTTTAGACTTTAAACATGACATATAGATCATTAATAGAGAGTGTTCTCACATATAATATTGTTTCATGGTTTGGTAACACAACATTTAAACAGAAGAAGAAATCATCACAAATGATCAATCAGGCAAATAAGATGAGATATTAAACAACATTTGCTGCAGATTTTATTTATGGACTCCTTTATGGAAAAACAGCAATTGTGATTTTTAAAGATAATACAAATCCCCATTCGCTCAGCTTTTGAAACGTTACCATCAGGACGCAGGTTTGCTTATAAAAAGTTATTTATCCAGTTGTTGTATTAAATCAGATTACAGTTTAATGTGAGTCGTGCAATTGTTAAGAATTGTCTGCAGTAATATGCATGGGGCTAATTTGTTTTTAATTCATGTGTTTGTCTTGATGAGACATGTTAATATTATGTGACTGCTGTATGGTTGTATATTACCAGTGTTAAAGAATTTATTTTCTGTGCCAAGCAGAACAGACAGTAAAGTTTAAACTTAACTAACGTGACCATTTTTTTCTTTCACAATTATGCAAAATTACAGCATACAGATGAAGTCAGAATTATTAGCCCCCCTTTGAATTTTTATAATTTTTTTTTTTTGTTTGTAAATATTTCACAAATGATATTTAACAGAGCAAGGAAATTTTCATAGTGTATCTGACAATATTCTTTCTTCTGGAGAAAGTCTTATTTGTTTTATTTCGGCTAGAATAAAAGCAGTTTTTAATTTTTTAAAAATAATTTTAAGGTCATTAATATTAGCCCATTTAAGCTATATATTTTTTGACAATCTACAGAACAAACCTTCATCATACAATAATTTTCCTAATTACCCTAACCTGCCTAGTTAACCTAATTAATCTAGTTAAGCCTTTAAATGTCACTTTAAGCTGTAGTGTCTTGGAAAATATCTAGTCAAATATTATTTACTGTCATCATGGCGAAGATCAAATAAATCAGTTATTAGAAATGAGTTTTTAAAACTATTATGTTTAGAAATGTGTTGAGAAAATCTTCCCTCCAATAAACAGAAATTTGGGGAAAAAATAAAAAATAAACAGGGGGCTAATAATTCTTACTTCAACTGTATATCCTATAATCTGTTAGGAATGGTTACTTTGCTTTTATTTTGTTCCTCCACAAATTTCATCTCATTTTCCTCATTAAGTATTCTGCAAACTTGCTCACTTGTTGTTTCCATGGTAACTAAGTACACTAATTTCTGACCTAACGTAATGGAAATATTATTGATCTTGGTGGAAATAGCAGAGCAATTGATGGACAGTAAATCGTTATCCCCTAAATAAATGTTAAAATGCTTTTTATTATTTTACTCTTCATTAAAGGACCGCAGCTTTTTTAAACAGTGGTTTTGTAATAAATACTGTATCAGTAATACTTTTATTATCCATTTGCATATTTAAAGCCAAAAAGTCAACTACTAAAATATAAACCTACATATACACACACACACACACACACACACACACACACACACACACACACACACACACACACACACACACACACACACAAAAACATTTGAAAAGTAGAAGAAACAAATCATAAAACCAAAAAGTAAAAGTTCCCAAGAGTTTCCCAAGTTTTAATGTGACCTTCGTATAACAAAAAGAGAATAAAATGAATTAAAAAATTGTTAGTTTTGATAAAACTCAACCCCAGGGATATACAAGTTCCCAGTGAAGAAACACCCTTTTATGTTAAAACCACAGTTCTTAAATAGACCGAAGCGCAGCGAGACTGTTACCTATTAAAGAGAGATGTACTGAGCGCAAGTCTGTCCTTCAGCTGCACAAATGTCCTTCAAGAGCCGTTTCTCTTCTAAAATGTTCCTCTCAGATCTGTGATTGAGGAGCAGTCTCGGCTTGAGCCTGACTCTGTGCAGTCTGGAGGGAGACTGTTACTGTTGCAGAAGATCCCCTGACAGATGATCAGACCTGCTGTGAAATAGTGTGTGAAAGTGTACATGTGTGTGCATACCTGTGTTTATTAATGTGCGCACGCGATCACTGAGCTCAGTGCCAAGATTAATTAGCACCTGGAGGAATAGCGCTTAAATAGCTGTGTTACAGTCAGGAGCCATCCTCATTGCAGGCTTGTGTATGCCTTGAATGCTAACATGCTAAACGTAGGACATTTTAACTCACAATATTTTTAATGTTCAATAAAGACTCATGAGAAACAATTTGACATTGTTTTTTCAACAAATAAGCTGTTTTCAACAAGTTTTTTTTATTTAATTGAATTTAATTAATTACACCAATGATTTAATTAATAAATGTATTTAATTATAAAATAACTTTTTTGAGCATCTAACTCTACCCTAGTCAGAACTTAAGCACTTAACAAAATAACCTAAGTTCTTAACAAATATAAAACACTGACTGAGGTACATCCCAAAAATGAAAATTCTGTCATTGTTTACTCACCAGTTTACTTGGATGCTATAGCTTTTCAATAAATGAACAAGTTCTATATACAGGCCAGCCTGGTGAAAGGGGTGGTCCTTTTTTCTCAAAAGATAGACCTTTTTGCAGTTCTTCGTAACATTACTTTATAAATATATAATTTACAGCTGGATGCTGGACTGGATGGTGGAAAGAGTTCTGAAAAATCTTAATTAAGTAAAGGTACTATTACAAGCCTAAAATGCAGTGCAAGTAGAATAAAAGTATCTTACTCTATATTACTCAAAGTATGAGTAAAAAGTAGACCTTTCAAAAGTAATCAAGAGTAGTGTGTAGTGAGTATTACGCTGTAAAAAGCTGATGCATTTACATGTAATTTGTGGATGAGGGTAAACGTAACATTCTGTAGTGTATTTAGTTATTATGCAGCAGGTACACAACGACATACAACGTTAATGTTTGGTTAGATTTAGGTTGTGATGTCAGGTGATCAAAATTCAATTTCTAGCCAGCGTCTAAAGACAACATTATTTTGATGATCAATAACGACGTCAAATGAAGTTGATATTTGGTTGATTTTAGGTTTTGTTAGAAAGTGACCAAAATCCAACGTCAAGCCAACATCTTAAACCAATGTCATATAGACATCAAATACGCGTACCTTTATTCCTGAGAGTGTACAGTAAACATCTGTCAACTTCTCATTGATGACATGCTTTTAAACAGTCTCTGGTTCAATGTGTGTAAAGATTTTAAATATCTTTTGGACACTTTTAATGTTTCCAAACAGTTTGCTGCAACTATTAATTGCCCATGTCTTGAGGTAATTGATTATGATATTATTATAGTAGTGGAGTAAAAGTAATGATACTGCACTAAAAATGTACTCAGGAGAAAGTAAAAGTACACATTTATAAAACTACTTAGTAAATTACAAGTCCTGAGAAAACTACTCAATTACAGTAATTTAAGTATTTGTTATTTGTCACTTCACATCACTCAGACTCATGAAAAATAATTGTTTGCATTGAACAAAACTGATTAACTGAAGTCACACCAGGATTCCGCTTGCTCTTAAAATCTTTTTAATGGGTTATTTTTACTATTTTTAATGAAATAACAGTCAAAATAAGACAAATGAGCTCATGTATGGGACGAATTGGTCAGTCAATTCTTCTGAACCACCCGAACCCCCACTGGCTGCAGGTCTGATATACCTAGTAATTGCTGTGTTTTAAAATGAAAAAGTTTAGTACTGTATTACAAAAATGCTCTAATGCAAATCAATTTTATGCACTTCTTTAAATATAAAATGATGTGTTATAATGACGGTTGTAGCCAAATTAGCTTGATTTATGAATATTACTGATTATTAATAACAAGTTATTATTAATTATGAATATTCAGAATTAACTTAAAGTTAATTCAACAAAATAAATATAACAATATAACAATGCCCGCTTGTCTGAGCAGACTTTTTTAAATCAATTATTTATTTAGAAAGGGAATTATACTTCTTTTGAAGTAAATTATTAGTTTAGAAGTTTTGTTAAACTTAACAAAGCTGGTAACAAGGATCTTTTACCGTTTCTGCAAGGCAAAACAGACAAT